AGTTTGGGAAGTTAGCTGGTGGGCTGCTTCCTAATTTTCTTGCTGTTGGTTAAATAGGGATGTTAATGCTGTGGCACTCCTAGCATAACATTTTTCAGTATTATAAATTTATAGTAGGGTTTAAAAAAGAAGAAAAATACCCCAAAAATAAAATTACCAGGAGAGGAAAAACTGGATAGGCCAGTGGAAGGTGATTGTAAGGATTTCAGAAATTTCTCAGTTTCTTGCTGAGAAACACCTATCTTGCTTGTAGTCAGTTCTTACTCTTCTTTTACATTTGCTTATGCATTTTGGTAGATGAGAAAAGAACAGCCCATGTGGGTTTTTAAAGAAATTATAGATTTAAGTATTAATGTTTCTATCTTTTTGTCTGTGGGGAGCAAATTAACTTTTCTTTTGAAGTTCTGTGAAGTAAAACATTTCAACATTTAATGCTGTTTGCCTGAGGAGAAAGGAAGGAATATTTTTGGATAATTGGAAATGTAATTCCATCAAAGTAATTAATGACTGGTCTATCTACAACAATGAGATAAGCATAGTCTGAGTGTAAAGGTTTTGCTTAACTTGCTCTTACACTGGAATGGTCATGGTCAGTAGTATTGTGGAGCACCACACGGCCTTCTGTCAAGGGAATAAGGACAGAGTTGAAACATATGCAAAACTCAAAACTTGTGCTGGAGATTCAAGGAAAAGGGTATTTGTGTCATTTGGGTAAGAAGAGCAGAGAATGCGGGACTATATTGATTTTTTTTTTCATTGGGTTTTTTTTCCGTCCAAGGTTAAAATGGTAACTGTTCTCAAACTCTTAAGCACAATAATTTTGCAAATGACTTTATTGTTTAAAAGTGTTACTTTTATTTACCCCAGCACAGTTTATTTGAAGAGGGTAAGCCACAGATAATTTCATGCAAGCATTAAATATAGAACTTGTTATAAAAATGGCTATTTCTAGTAGGTCAAGACAAACTGTTAACTTGTGATTCAAAACATTTAGCACCTTATATTTTGTAAGCTTAGTGCAGAGGCTAGTGTTAATATTTATGTGAAGTAAAACCAAATTTGTGTTGGCTGTTGTGATCGTTTAAATACCTTTTATTTGAGTGTAATGAAGCATTTTTTATTTACTTGACATAGCCCTGCCAAGCGAACTATTAACTGCAGTTTTAGTTTCTCTCGCTTTTGATTTTTAACAAGAACAAAACTCTGCTTTAGGATGGATTCTCTTAATCCGTAGTCTGATCTGTTACTGTGTATTTTTGCTGCTGTAACTTAGGAAAATAAGTAATCATTCCTCATAGCTGCGATTAGGGCAAACACCTTCATTGGTGCCTAAGCCTTTTAGAGTCAAAGATGTTACCTCTTCTGTTCTGGAATGTAAATTAAGCAAGACATAAGTGAGACTGTATGAAAGGGGAGAACACAGAGGAGAGAAGTTTGAGAGACTAGGGGTCATGTATATGAGTGTCTGATGTGGTTAAAGAAAAGGTTCTTTTTTCTCTTGTTTTAGGAACGAGCTGAATGTCTTTGGATTCATGGCAGAAGTGAGACATAAGATTTGGTTAAGGGAATGTTTCTTTCATTTTTAAATATGTTAAAAATTAATTCTAAGGTGAAATCTTTAATAGCAAGATATTGTCTTTAACTTCTAGAATGAAGCCACTGATGATAGAAAGTCACTGTTCTTTTCTAACTGTTAACATTGAAGTGGAAATAACAGGTTTTTTTCTGTATTTCTTTGTCTCTCTTAAATTGTCAGCCAGCCTGTGTGAGGTTTGATTGGAGCAGAATAAATTAGGGTTTACATTTGGCTAAAAACTTACGGTACTGTAGGAAGGACAGCATAAATGATACATTGCTGTTTAGTTAGAACGTAAGACCAATGGCATCGTTCTTAGTTTCCGTAGGGTTGTAAAATATTTTGAGTATGGTCTCAGCAATAGTGTTTTGTGAATATATAGTTAACAGGCTCTGAAATACTAGTTTTATTTATTCTGAAGACTAGAGAACCTATGTAGCTATATAACATGTGGCCTTTTGGAAATTGAAGACACTATAGGAAAAAGAATCTTGATATACGCATTGGCATTAATATTGATATGTTTGGTCTCAAAGTGACTTTTGTTGAAAGGACTTGGGAATTTGGATTTGAGGTGTGTTTACCCTGGACAAGTAGAAGGAATTTTAGCAATTATAAATAGTTATGAATAACAGAAAATCAAATATCACAATGTTAATTTTTACTCTGGATTCTGTCCATTGTACCTGAAATTTCTTGGTATGAGTAGGTCATGAACACTTTTAAAATCCAAATATCTGCATAGTTGGTCATTCACTGTGGATAAGGACTCATAATACCACTGATATTTAGTGGAAGAAGGGATCCGACAGAAGGTGGTAAAGAACAAATATGAGCATGTGAGATAGTTAATAGATTGGTTTCTCCAGGTGTGACATGATGTACCTGACCTAGGTGTGACCACACATCACAGCTGTGTGGTCAGAAGAGGAAGGTACAATCTCCACATGTCTCTGATCCCCCAGCATGAATCGTTGTGTGGCATATGCAGCTGTCCTGAACTCCCGATTGTTAAAGTTCACCATTTAGTATGTTAAACTAATAATGCCCACTTTAAATTACTCTTATATTGAGCACTGCATATAATGGTAATCTGAGAGCTGCTGGGAGCTTTCACAGCTGCTCTATGAAAGGAAAGAGTTTGTACCTACTTGAACCTTTGTATTGCACCTACTGCCACAGCTTTCCTGAGGTTCACCCCTTACTGTGCAGCTCTTAGAGGTGGATATGGTTTATTGCTCATCTCACTACTCGAGCAGAGTCTTGAAGCTGCCTCATGATGTAGGGTTCTGTAATAGTTTTCTACTTATCAAATATGGAGGTGTAGCATCAAAAATACACTGTTACTTTGATCCTTCTTTTATTCTGAGCAGCTTTTTTTAGTATGTAGTTGGAGAGCAGCTCCTAAGTGAGCTGAGCTGTAGATATATCTATGTACTCTGTTTCAGCAGCTCTGTTAAAGCAGGAATGCAGAGAATGAAAAGCATGCAGCTAGCACCTGCAGTAGGAGTGTGTGCTAAATGAGTTACTTAGCATCACACTGGAGCATGGCAGAAGCACAGGTACAGTCCTTTCCTTTGAAGTAGCATTGGGCTGCCTAAGTCATGGGCCAGGCTTTATCATTGTGCTGTGTTCTGAGTTATTTATAGCACGCTTCTTTCAAAACTCAGTCAAAGAATGTATTAAGGTGAATCTCCTTCAGTACATAATCTCAAGTTCTGCTTTTTATGTAGAAATTGATAAGGTTGTTGAAAGGAGCCAGGCATGACATTTTAATTGCAGTATATATCAAGAAAATGGTTGCATCGTGGTGGTGTAGGAGCTACCCAATCTAATAAACATCAACTTTTTTGAATTCTTCAGTGCTGCATTACAGTTTAGGCAATCTAGTAATTACTTTTTCTTACTTAATATAGATGCATTTTTCCTGTTGCAATTTTATGATTTTTCCTCAAAGACTGGTGCCCGTTTTGTTCTTTTAAATGAAATGAAAGGTTTTATTTTTGAGTGTGTTGGGAATTTTAACTGGCAGACCTCTGCTATTTTGTGCACTCCATACTTACACGTGCTCCTGACAGCTGTGAAAGGAAGGTGGGAGTGTGGACAGCAGAAACCCACACTGTGCTCTACTCGTCGCATGATCAGTGAGTTTGTGATTTGGAGCCATACTGTAGAGAATACCTACCCCAGACTGGCCAGTGGCTTCTTGGTCATGAGCCTTCATCCTCTGCAATTAATCTTTGTGGCATCCTTGCTTCCAGCTAAGGCCAAGATAAGTTTAAAGAATACCTGCAATTAAAACTGCCATGTTAAATGCCTTGAGATGGTGACTTCACTGAGCCAGCAATGTGGCTTTGAGATTTGTTCACTAATGATTTTTTTCCTGTTCTGCATTCACAGTTTTTTAAGAAATAAAAAGTGTTGTAACTTTCTCTGAACAGAATTGTTTATAAGGATTACCATACTGATTTTACTTTGCTGTGAGGATTTTAAACGAGTCATAACCTAACACATAGTAGGCAGTCTTTTTTTCTAATGTCTCCTACCTCATAAATCTGTTTTATGCGAAAGCTTACTTATTCTTTCATATTGTCATAAAGAATGATGGGGAGGTAGACAAGTAAGGCTAGAAGCACTTATTTTATTAATATTTTTTTCTTGAACAGTGGGTGGGTTTTTTGGAAAGCTCAGATGCATATAACATCCTCTTGATCTATATGAACTCTGAAGTATGTGTACTAGTGAAATACTAGAACCCAAGTTTCTTTTAATTGCATATCTCGTGACACTGGCAAGATGAGAGCTCAGTGCCAAGCTGTGATGAAGTCTTATATTCTCAGTTAATTTTCATCTCTCCATTTAAATGTGCAATACTGCGTTTCTCTTAGCCAGAATTTGGGTAGTTGGAATGGTTCCTATTGAACTGTGTATTCTTCCTTCTAAGAGTTGGCAGTGGTGTGGAGAAGAGAGGGAGTAAGTGCTACTAATTTTTAAAAGCTCTGGTATTTTGAAAGTCGTGACCTTAGTAATTTGCAGTTGACTTTTAATAGACAAAACACAGCCATTTAAATATGGTACTTTTTATTAAAACAAGATCACTTTTCTAACTTGGTGTTTTGAGGCAACCCCCAATAGTGTTTGAATTGCTATTTGAGATACAAAGCAGTAATGTATTTCATGTTTCATTGCTTGCCGAGGAGGAAGAAGCTGTGCCTCGGGAATTTGACTTCATCCCCCAAAACATCTGATGCTTATCTTGCATGTTAATTTTTTGTAAAAATTATATGGATATATATATATATGCAATATATGTAATGTAGCTGTCAAATTCAGTGTTAAAAGATGTGTGTTGTGTGTGATTATTTTTTTATTTATAAGCACATACATAAAAGTGCAAATAATGTTTTCATTTATTGCTTTTCAGGGGATATAATTTTTAATGCTCACTATCCTGACCTGCCACCTGATTTTATCTTTGGAGAGGATGCTGAGTTTTTGCCAGATCCTTCTGCCTTGCATGTAAGTACTTTACTGTTTGAGAGCCTTACACCTTGCAGAGAGACTTTGCTTTTTTAGAATAGTTTCAGCAACAGGAATTTTATAACACTGCAAAATAAAGAAGAAACACACTTTTATCTCACTGTGTGAGTGGTAAACACATGGCTTTCTAAAGTGATTTAAAGTTGAATCCATAAATGAAGGGGAGGCAAAGTTTAAAATATTTTAATCAAGACAATATTACCTTTATTATAGTTACTTATAATATCTGTAAAAATATGTCTATTTAACATCTGACTATGTTAAATGATCTGTCTCAGAAAAAAAAAAAGTTGATAAATTGTGCCTTTAAAAGCATTTATCTCTAAAATAAAGTAGTGGAATTTGGTGTCACATTGTTGATTTTTGTTTTCTGTTAAGGAAGGATATATCTACTTAATATGCTCTGGCAATCACTGCAACAAAGAAAGCTATCTGCTCATGTGTGTTAGGGTTTATCTAGAAAAAGAAATGACCTTCTAAAAGGTGGGAGGAACAAAAATTCATGAGAAAATAATTTTTACAGCCTTATTGCTATTACGTATATACAACAGAAGAAGAAACACCACAACCTGAAACAAAGCATTTTGTTCTCTAGTCATGGGTAGCCTTAAGTAGTAAAGCCTTGTTTGAAGAAGCTATCAGTGCTAATGCTTTCACAGTACTTCTCCCCCTCAAGACTTACTAGTAGTTACTAATGAGACAGTGCAGAGCTCTCACCTGCAGCTCCTCTTGTGCTTTATGAGCATATCTCCAGAGCTCCCCAAAGGACATCGGTGGCTGTCGTGCTCTGGTGTGGGTGTCATGGTAGAGGTTGAACATGTCCTTGATGCATGACATGACAAGTGTTGGGTTTTGGTTTTACCTTTCACTTCATAGTAAGCTATATACAAAAATCAGGAGAATAGGTTTTAATAATTATTTTTAGCATACCTAATAGAACTTTAAAAAGGTGAATGTCATATTTCTTTTCTTCTCCTGGTCACTTCAAGCTCACAGACTCCTTTGGGTAGGAGGCATGGTGCTGATGAACAGTTTTTTCATTATGCTAGTTTACAGGAAAGGTATTTTTTTTCTACAGCAATTCTAGAATTGTTTTCACACTCCTTTATTTACCTCTTTTTCGCATTTGTTTCACAATCTTACAACCTCCTGAGAAGTGTTCACATTAGCAACTATGTTTTATACTTGACATTAAAAGAAGAGAAGCACCTTTTAATATACTGGAAAATAGAAATTAATAATAAATTGCAAATGAGATAAAATAATTTGGGACATCTTGCAGAAATGCTGTTCAGATGGAGAAGCTTGCTGAGAGTGGTATGGTGCCATATTTCTCAAGTGGAAAGAAGTCACTAACAGTTGTATTGTACAGGAAAACCTGCAAAGATAAAAACATCCTTATTTTTCTTTCTTTCTTAAATTCTTCATTAATGATGCTTTTTTGGGAGTGTTGCATTTCTTCTGCCTAAGCACAGAACCAACTTCTTGTCTTTTTTGTTGGAAAGCAACTTGGAAGAGCCATTTGCTTCTTGATACGTAATGAGATTAACCAGCCTATTTGAAAATAATTAGAACAAACAGAAGAAGAAATCTGCAAGCCAACAGTATTCCTTTGGTCATTATGCCTTGCTGAAGCATTCACCATGTAAACGTAACCTTCAGTTTGTCCTGATGGTGTTGGAGCATTTATTCTCACCTTGCAGCTGTGGTCTACATAGTGTACCTTTGGTTTTGCATTCACTGCTTAAAGTTCCGTATGGTTTGTAGATTTTTTTTTTTTTTTTCTTCAGAATGTTGCCTTAACAATAACTTGCTTATTGTGCCAAATCTTTGCATAGCTCTTTTTTTTCCACAAATGCGAGAGCTGTTTAATGAAGATAATTTTAATTGAATTCTAAGATACTAGCAGAATTCTTAAATGTGTTAATGTAGCTGTCTACTGACTAGAAGTAAAATACAGATTAGCACATTGACCATAATTTAATGCTCTTAATCTTGAGCAGTGTTCAATACTTCTGATGCAACTGTTCCTGGCAATCAAAGCAGAATTTACCATGCACAAAAGCATGTAGATGTTATTCAATGAGGAGCACAGTCTCTAAGTAAGTAATATGTGCCATCAGATCTGTGGGAATTCTGACATTGAGCCTGCATGCACTCTCATCTGTCTGAGTGTCTTGTTTGCCAAGAAGTCATCACATGTTGTTAGATGGCTTGAGTCAGGCATTATGCTTAGCTTGAAAGGAGAACCAGGTACTCTAGATTCCTCCAGCTCGTGTGGCTCTAATGTGGCTGTCAGTAGGCTTCCCTGAAGACATTTGAATGGCTGAGTTGCAGATCGTTTCAGTCGCTCTTCAGTTTCCATGGCCATGGGCAAACCTTCCAGTTAGGTTTTCGTCTAAGCATGGTAATAGCTGTTCAGTTAAGCAGCTGTTAGCCAGACAGCTAAAGCAAGATTCCAGCAATACTGCATTTTTAAAAAGTGAATGCTGTAAAAGAATAGTTCATGTTTTGGGAGAATTGCTGAATGATTAGGCCAGTATTTCAGCAGTAGAGCGATGTGTTGAGCACTGTTTTATAAGCAGGGCTAATGCTTTCTTGAATTGATACTGCAATAGCAGAATCGAGTTGAAAACGCTCATTGAAATTTAGCTTTGCTTTTGTGTCTTGTACAGACATTAAAGTCACTTAAATTTGAAGCTCAGCTTGAGTCTCAAGTTCAGCACTGCAAGTAGGTGCTTCATTACATGTCTTAGCAGTAGTGGTTACTCTGCTGGTTGCAGGGTCTGCGTGCATGCTGATCTTGCCAATGATGCTGGCACTTCAACAGTAGGGCAAGTGGTTCTCCTTTTGGTTCGTCATATAGTTTTAATTACAGTCAGGGGGGTAAACTCTTTGGGTTGGTGGTGCTGTTCATGCTCAAAGAGTGATTGAAAAGAAGCATTTTTACATTTTATTGTGATTAAGAATGTTTTCCTATCAAATACATTTGATACTTGCATGTATAGTATGCATAAATAAAATCAGCTTCTGAGAATGTAAATAAAAAAGTTCTTTCCTGCTTTAGTGTTTATTCATTTTGGATGACAAGTATTAGAAATGTATTTTAAAAACAACCTATGATTCACTCGGTTCTGATTAAAAATTCAGTTGGCACACAACAAGATTAGTGATTGTGTACGGATGAGATTAATTTGGAGCTCATTACAATGACGCCAGTTTGAGTAACAAGAATTGTTTGTTATGTTAGCCTAGTTGATTGTTAATGTGAGCCAGTTAATAGTTGAAGTGCTTATTCAAAATATTAACCCCATTTTTCCAATGATTTTGAATTATCTTCTGTTGGACAAAGAGGATACAATAGAAGTATCAGCAAGGCAACTGTCAGTTCAAGGAAATGGGTATCTTAGTATTCTACTTCAGATCTCCAGCTAGTCTCCTCAGAATTATTTTGCTCACCCATTGCTATCAAAAAGGCTTCAGTAGCCTTAGTGGGAATGGAGGCAAGAGGACGTGAGCATTTCCTGAAGCCTACTAAATGCTGAATATGTCCTTGTGGGCTAGTAAATAGCATATTCCTTGTGGGAATACTTAGTGCTGCATTTGCATGGGAGGAAGATACTGTCATCACAAATCTTCAGAGAATAGGCCGCTGCAGTTCTCATGCCCATAGCTAGCATTGGGAGGATTCTATTCCCTTGTCTATTTGTTGATACTGAGTACAGATTCCAGTCACTGTGGAGTTAATTCAGCTCGTTGTGCTACTCAAGTGTATTGGCTGTCACACTCTATATCTTGTGTAGACCAATGTTTGTTTTTAAGTTCTTGTATTTGTGCTTATTAGACTCATTTGGCTATATGAGGACTGTCATGAAGGTTGTATTTTTTTCTGTGCCTCTGTTCAAAGTCTTAATCATTATTTCTGTTGGTTGCTGAGTTAGCTTTTAATGGGTAGTGAAGAGATCCTTTAAATATCCCCCTCTTCCATTAATTGTTCTTTATTTACTCAGGACCATTGCACACATGTTAACATTGTCAATTGTCCCCCTGCTCACAGTAACTCCAAAAAAGCTCAAACACCCCTTACATTAACTAATACTGTTTGAACTATTTTGTTCTAAGAAGTCTGTCATTTGTATTGTCAGCAAGGATTCAGATGTTGTGTGTTCTAGTGTGGGAGCCTCCCAAAAGGGCAACAAGCTCAATGGTTTTTGGAGTGTGATTTTAAAATATGAAGCCACAGTAGTGGGTTCTACTTGTCTGAGAAATGCACGGGTAAATTCAACCTATTTAGCTCTTCTGTGTGCTCTATTTCAAATGTCAGCAGCAGATTTCATTCTTGGACCCCCTAACCTGCTGCTCTTGTACTGAAAGCCTGAAATTACTTTGGCTTCAGTTGAACTTGGGGAATTTAAGTGAAACAGCATGCAGAATTGGATCCTTCAGTTTATTAGAAGGTATTTTTTTCTTATTTTGAGCTACTTTATATTCCCATATATTATGTTCATTTTTCAGCCACGTCTTGACTTTATATGTGAGTATGTGTTTTGTTTATTTATAAACCCATGTTATTTAGCATTTAATTTTCTGAAACAAACATTAATTCTGAAAATATTTTATTCCTGTCCCTCTCTATTGATCCTACCTGTTTGTGTATATGGGGAATACAGGTATGTATGCACACACACACACATATATATATATATATATATATATACACATACAGCCTTGCTGAAGTTTGTCTGGTATTGATAGGCAGTGGGAAAAAAAATCACATTTTATACCATTACTGTCAGAGAAGTCATTTATTCAGGAACTTTCTCAAGGACTTTCTGACTGGTACTGTTGGCATTTACGGTACACATTTTTGTCCACGTTTCTGAACAATAGGATATGCCAGTGCAGCATTCCGTTTAAAGCCAGATCTGAAATAATGTAATTTTGAATGTATTTTAATCTGGTTTTGGTGTCTGAGCTCC